CACTGGTGCTATCAGGCATCCCAGCCCTACCAACACGAGAACAAGGAATTGAATGTTTTTACAGAATGGGAACACTTAAGGGCAGCTGAACAACTTGGAGCTTTTAGCATGAAACAGGACAAGGCAGAAAGGTGCTGGCATCAGTGTGAGGGAACCTATTCTGGGCACACAGAGTCCAGCACTCTAGAGATCTGCAACCAGTCATGTTTGAGACATGAAAAAATCTCCAGCAATTACAAAATAGCAGTGGAACAAAATACTTCAGTTCTAAACACAATTAAAGTTTGACCAGTTCAGTATCCAGTTACAGACTGGATCCTCTCACCTTTCCTCATTTCCCTTTGAAGTCAGGTGCCTTTTAACAGGCACTGTACAAAGTTTCTGGCTTTGAGACATCAAGAGAACAGTACTTCAGCTTTCCTTTTTTTAGCATACTTTAAGAGTCAGAAGAGTGAGCTGTAAGTTTCAAATATTTGTGGCTTAAGTCAAAATAACTCTAAAATAACATTATGAATAGCCTATCAGAAGAGCTCTGGGAGATGATTACAGGAATGTACTCAGAACTGTCAATATTACCTTTTGGAGAAAAACTTTCAACCCATATATAAAGTGATCAAGGATGGCAATTTTCAGTTAGGCTGTTGTTGCAAAAGACCCTATCTCTTCAAGAACAAAAATTAAGTTTAATGCTAGAAAATGTATTCAAAATTGCAATATAATCAAACCCTTTAATATTTTAGGGTTCTTAATTAAGAGAAAGCCTGACCAAAAAAAAAAAAAAAAAAAAAAAAAAACAAAAAACAACACCAAAAAAAACAACCAAACATAAAGGTATTCAAATTCTTTTTTTGTGATTTAATTCACTATTTTAAAAACAACAAAAAAATTGAGGAAACTAATATAAATAACCCTTCATTCAACATATGCCCTCAGTATGAGGATTTTCAGGCAAGTCCAAAGGAAGCTTTGCCCAGTTACTTGAGTGAATTCTTTCCCCATGTTGAGCATATTAGGGTGAAGTGAACCAGGCACCACCTCAGGTCACTCTCGAAAGAAAATTTTGGAAACAAAAAGATCTGAGGAAGATTCTGAATGACTCTCAAGTGAAGCACACATATGTACAAGATTTTGCAGTGAGACTAGTGATTTTAATTTTTATCTTTAAGTGGTTGTACACCACTGACAGCCAAGAAATAAATCCCATGTAGTCAAAATTATTTTAGGTGGTATTGAGTCGTCCATGTGAACTGAAACTGCTGAACCACTCCTCCAAATACAAAACTGTTTCTGTGCATCTCTTAAGTTATGATGCCTTATAAAAATGTGCATGACCTCCAGCAGGCTCTTCTCCAGATGCAAAGAATGCATAATCTTTGATATCACCAGCGATGCAGTTTTATTCACTTGACTGCCTTCTGATTACAGAGGAGCTCAATCTTATGAGAGATATTGATGCAATCATTGAATGAGACAGTATTGCACACACAATACTGCAGCAGAAGGACAGTCTCATGCGAAATGTAATGTGCAAGTGAACTGAACAAAACATCTTGGTTCTCCAAAAAGAGTATTTTGTTCTGGCACTGTTTCTAGGTCACAGTAAAATTAAAATTGCTAAGATACTTTGATTAAAAACTAAAGATTACCTAAAACCAATAATACTGAACATCAAAAATCATAATCTTAAATCCATTCCCATTCTATAAAGAAAAAAATTATATTTTGAACTTTACGTGTGCATATAAATTGAAGTACTAATTCTTTAAGTCCATGATCAGTCACCTTGTTGGCATTACACAAAATATTCTACGACATCAGCAATTCTGCTTTGGTTCTTTCTGAATCCCAGAGACTCCTTCAGCAGTAAGGCACTAAAAACACATTGCCATGTATAAAGCTGTTCAAACCTCATGGAAGAACACAGGGCCAGGACAACACAAAGAAATCTACTCATTGTAACGGCCAAGCATCAGCTGAGCTTTCACACAGATACATCTCCCCACTAGAGGAAAACCACTCACCAGAAAGGGAGCTGGTCAGATTATCACACATCTCTCCTAATACTGAGATGGACACCAAAGCAATGAGAAAAGTTAAAAATAATAAAATGAGAAACTATCATTATCTTTGTTTACTGCATAAGAGGAAAGTTAGACGGAAAAAATTCTGTCTTGACTGGGCAGATGCGCTTACACCACAAATGCATGTGGACAGATGTTCAAATATACTCACATATACAAAAACTTTTGAAGATTGAGAACTACCCTCATCATTTGCTATATAAGGCCAGTGGATCTAAGTTCTGTATTATTCAATTTTCAAACTATTTAATAAGAGAATCTGTTGCTAATGAAAAAGTGAATGTGCTGCTATTTCTGTCAAATCCATTAGACAAGATGTTTGAGAAACACTCAAAAAAAGAGAAAAGGACAGGAATAGAAACTGTCCGTAATATTCATCCCAGTAAGGATCCTATTTATTCCAATTTCACTTGTAGGATGCAAATAATATAATTGCAGTTATGACAGCATGCAAAATTCAAAATTGATTAGACTGCTTTTTATTACTGCTCAGTGTGTGACTTGCATGTGTCAATAATAACAGCAGCATGATTTTAATACAGTATGCTGGGCAAACTGTTTTAAGAGAAGATTTGAACAAGAACCACCAACATCTGTTTATAAGCAAAAGTTTTGCAAATAAAGCAGAGATGAAGTCAGGAATTTTGATCTCACTTATCTGGTTATGACTAACTGCATTGATGGATGCTTTGTCTGCTGCATGTGGTGCACAAGTGGTGAAAGATTAAGGGCAAGACATCAGAGAGACAAGAAAAATTGCTGTGCATCAAGCAGTCCATCTGCTTTGGCCATACAACAGTTACTATCAAGTGACTTAGAGGCCAAATCTTAGTCTGCTTCTGAAACTGGGCCATCTAAAAAAAGCTTCAAATTCTACTCACTAATACACATTTAAGACTTCTGTGAATTCTCTGTGGATACATTGTTTCACATAAATCACTGCCAGACAAAAGCAGTAATTTTGGTTTATGTTTATACTCAGGCTTCTTAAATATCATTTAAGATGGGGTATGTTGTTTTATTTTTATATGTGACTTAAGGAATTAAAATAAAGGTTTCAATGACTACAAATTTAATACCTTGGACTGTAATGTTCTGAGTGTTAACCTCTTCTATTTAAAAAAGTTTATATATAAAACCCACACAGGTATGATTCACTACTACACACATAAGCCACTAAAAATCAAGGACAGCCAAAAAAGGACTGGTGACACCTCTCTCGAGAAGTTTGCTGCACAACTTTTAGAAGTTCTCCCTGTTTAAAGCACACTGAAATACCCTTTTTATTTTTTTTTAATTCCCAGATGCACATATAAAACATTTGGTTAGATGAGGACTCTCACAAGAGTAGCAAGATGTGAATTAGCTTCCAAACTGCAATCCAATTTCTTTTTTTCATTGCATTGCACTTGCTAAGGTGGGGATTGTACCACACACATCTGTGTTTGTGACTCATTTTTTGTAGGAATTCTTTAACTGCCTTAAAATTTTATATAAAAGGAGGATTAAACATGGAAAGCCAAGAACTATCAGCTCCATTGCCGTATACATGGGAAAAAAAATTTGGATGGTTTTATTGTTTGGAAGAGAATAAGGTAGGGTTATACACAACACAGAAAAACACAGAAGCTCCACAGGACCACATCAATACACAATGATAATGAGAGGAGCCTTAAGCACTCTGTTCAAGAGTGGTAGCATCACAGAGACAACTGAATAAACTAAAAGATCTTGGATTTTAATCACCTAAAGTTAGTTCTCAGCACAATTGTCTTTAAACTTTTTCAAAATTCAAACTGAAAAAACATCACTTGAAATTTCAAATGTATAACTCAACAGTATAAAATGCAAATAAATAGTTATTAGACTTGTAAAATAAACTTAGAGTTTAAAATTAAGTAATTAGCTGCAATACTGTCACCAATGAACACTTCAAATTTTCACCTGTTCACCTGGTTATTAATTTATGGCAAAATTGCAACACTAAACATGAAGATAAGTGAGCTCTAGCATAAGAAAAATATTTCAGCAAGATGTAGCACTTCCATTAAAGACCAAAATTCCCATCCTATGAGATGAAAAGAGTTCATTCTGAATGTAAATCTAAGGACATTAAGTATTCTATAAAATTACTTAGAATTTTTTAGATCATCAAGAGCACCTCTCATTTAATTCATCTACAGCCAAGTGTTTGGGACACAGCTTAGGTTTGCTATGAAAAACATACCAAATAGCACATATTTTCCAAACTAGTTTGCTTCTGAGAAATGTCAAGGGTCTTTTAAAATAATAGTAGTAGTTTTCCACTCATCATGCAGCCCAGTTACAGGTTAAAGGGCTAAATCCTGTAATTATTCAGGCTATAAGCCTATTTTCAAATAAATATACTGCTGCTTCTAAGTTTGAAGAACCTTGTCCAGCATTCTTCGAACTTTGGCTACAGTGGCCTTTTTCCATTTTTAACATGGATGTTGTCAGTACTTTTTATTTAAAAATAATTCTCAGCCTAACATCCAATAACCATTACATTTTTATTACTTTTTTGAAGCTGGCACAATTTATTTATTTTGAGAAACCATTTGCTAAAACAAGTTTTTGCTCCCAAAGTAATCTACTATTATCAGTCTCTCTACATTACCATTACACATTAACAAAATGGAAAGCAACCCAGCTTTTCAAATCAGTTGTCCTCCTTTAAAAAAAAAAAAGAAGAAAGAAAATGTCTTTGTCTAATTTATTGAGTTTTTTCCAATTAAATATCTCTCTCAAAACCAATGGCTCAAATTCCCCTCAAATACTTTAAATGTGATGTGTCAGAAAACTTGGTTTTGACATGATCTGTACCATAATGTTACTCCACAGATCTCAGGTGAAACATTTTACTGTGACTTTAAACAAAGCCTTGACCTGGAAGCTTACCAGCTGCAGTATTTCTTTCAGGACACAGCATTCAGAAGGATGCTCAGTGGTGGGATTATAATTCGTGGTGCTTTGCAACACTAACACAGCATCTTCATAGACAGCAGAGACAGAACCAACTTCAGCATTTCCATGCGTGTATTTTTCCTCCATCCTGCACAAAAAGCAATGCTGCTGTTTCCACCTATCCAGGGCATCCCAGCACATACATTGAAAGGTCCTAAGGGAAGTCTACATTATAAATATTATCAATTGAATATTTAAGTTTTGCACTGAAATAATCACGCTGGATATATGAAACTCTATGATGGTGAGCTACATAATGCAAGACAAGTACACTCATTACTGATCCCACAGCAACTGCAGCTGTAACAAAGGCAGCTTGTTTGAGTTTCCTGTCAAATTAAACGTTCTAAGCCAACATAATTTTATTCAGTAGGCACTGTTAGTGTAAAGCTCTGTTCATGTAGCTATGGGAGCCGAATTCCTAAAATGAACAATAAACTGTCTTTTAGAAGTTTGGCTGTGGAGACTAGGTGGCTTCTCATGAAATTCATGTGCATTTATACTGCCTGTGTGTAGCAGCACAGAGAATTGTTTCTGGCTTTCATTTCATGCACAGGGCTCTATCCTGCCACAGCAAACCTGATACTTTTACATATTTTGTCTAAGATTGAAACTCATTTGTGCTGTTCACACTACACCTTTGAGACCCCAACTCCTAACTACCTGTCTTGCTGCCAAGAACAATTACTTTGTCTCTCACCATGGGCACAGCAGATTTTCCCACACTGAAGAGAAACCACAAATTCTCTATAAACAGGGAAGAATGGACAGAAGACTTTTTTCTTCCCCCTAATATCTTAAGCGTCTGATTTTTCTTACATCTTTTGTTATGTATTTTATTGGTTTTCAGAGGCATTCAAGAGAAAACATGGGGAAAATCAATCTCAGTTGTTAAAAAATCTCAAGCACTTCTAAAAATTGGAGCAAGTTAGAGCTATCTGTTTATATAAAGTCCAGAAAGCTCCATTATGATCACATAATGTAGGCATGGCCAATTTGTGGTTCTTGAGCCACATGTAACCTTCAGGCAGTTCAAGTGAAGCTCTAATGGGGCTAAATCACGCAACAAACACATGTGTGCCCTGAGCTGCTGAACAGCCCAGACCTGCAGTTCTGGGGCAGCATCCATGGCCATGCTCCTCATCTCTCATCAGACAGGAATATCTGCAAAGATCCAACAGCAGCAGATAAAAGCAGGCACATTCAAAGTATTTTCAGAATGTTACCTCATAGCATTCATAACTATCATCTTCTGCAGCACTCCCCCCTTTAAAGTATCCATTTCCACTATTTAAAATATCACCAGAATTTCACCAGGTTACTTGAGGGCAGAGACCACTCAAATTCCTGTCTCTAAGAATCAAAGCACTGTGGGTAAGACATAGCACATGACTTGAAGAAAAGTGTTTCTACTGAAATGTTTCATTTCCTAACAGATTGGAAAAAACAAAATAGAATCTTTAGTTTTATGAAAGCAGATGTTCAAGAAGCAGATCTACATAGAACATTCAGAGGGAAGAATTAGTCTTCAGAAAGAAGTCACCTTTAAATATATTTAACCAGTAGTCACTTTCAGTCTTGTAGATTTATGGGAGAGAACTGTCACATGTGTCTCATGAGTTTAATTCCCTAGTCACAATTCACATGACTTAACATGCTCTAAGGATACTTCCTGGACATCTGCACTAAAAATTACTAACAGTGTACTCAGCTATAAGTGATTACATCATCTTGCTTCATCAGATGACTCCTCTGGTCTCTAAAATGTGATTCATGTAAAAGCTAAGTTTAATTTCTAATTTATTTCAGAAGTTCTGATTTCTTAGAATTCCCAAAATGGGGGGAAAATTAAGTTTCCTTAGAGAATAATTGAGATATTGTATAGTTTCTTTCCTCAAATTGCAGACCAACAAAAATTTCCTAACTAAAGAATCCAACTTATTGAAGAAAGATAACAAAGATGGTTTAATTGATGCATTAGCAATTTCAATAGCCCTTCTTTTCAAGCTACGCCATTATGAAGAGTAACTAAATTTTATCCAACTGCATTTTAGAAAGGAAAATATTCATACTCTGCTAATTATCAACTACAACAGGGACATTTGAAGCCATAATTCAATTTGCTGTGACTGGATGCAGCTACACCAACCTCAACAGGTTAATTATTGCTTCACAGACCTACATTCACCACAATAACAAACAGCTGTTTATTATTAACAAGACTCAATTTGACAAGTGGCTTTATTTTTTAATTATTCACTTTAATCTTTCACAAATTTTAATCATCATTTTCAATTACAATGAAGTTAGACTTGACAAGAATCTCCTTTGGGAAAACATTCTGGAAAAACAACATTTCCTTCAGGCTACTGATGTTCATGGTGCTTTTCAAGCTGCCCTATCAGTTTGGGTGATGTAACAAACTATGCCTGTGGTCAGGCTGTGGGCTTCATAGGTTGAAATACAAAAATCAGTCTTTATTTCTGTTTGCACAAGCAGTGCAAGTCTGCAGTATCAATGATCCATGTAACATGAATTTAGAAGAGCGTTCTTAAGCCTCTGACTTGATACTCATTGCACAGTTAAAAACACCTAAATCTTTGCAGAATAAGGTATTTCTATTGCAAATACTTCTAGCCTTCCCTTTTTTCAGTTCTGCTAATTCCATGCCTACCTCAACACATAGTTAGGTTGAAATTTTAAAACAATGTAAGTAACTGAATCAAATCTTTTGCACAGTTTTAGCAAGCCCTCCATAAAGCACAAGGCAAGATCCTCAAACTGATGCCATCAGTAGAACGTTGCTTAGTTACTTCAATGAACAAAGCTACTTGAGTTAAGATCAAAGTCTAATTACAACATCTGCATCACAGCACTAAGTTGATCTCATTGTAAACAGGATGAGTTTGTAATTCTTACACCAGGAAAAACTGAAGTAAAAGAATAGTCCCTTATTAGGAAAAAGAAATCCTCATTGCAATTTTTCAAAGTAATACATTTCTACAGTTCTTACAAAAGAACAGGAGTGGCCCTTGGTAACACCTGGACACCAATATAAATTCAAAGTAATTGCAAAATACATGCCTTAAAATCATCAATGCCTTCAAGTTATTCATGCAGGCAGAACCTCATTTCTTCCTGAGAACATCCTTCTCCAGGGTCAGCTTCGCCCTCTTGAATGCCAGAAAAAAAACCACACAGAATTCATGTTATTCCCAATACCTTAAATATATTTTCTATATCCACTGACAAGGTTGATCTACAAACCTAAATCCTGTTTCAGTGGGACACAACACAGAAAGACCCTGTTCCATTGTTTCCATTTCTTTGGTAGCTAAGAAATTCCGTTTCCACAAAAATAGCTAAGGTAACAGGGAATTCATTTTAAGCAATATAACCCAAGTACTGAGGAACTCTGAAAGAGAATAAATGGGAAAAAAGACCTTAAAGAAGCAGCATGAGCAATAATTGAACCCTTTTCCATTCAGGCCCACTCTAAGGAATTTTATATCACACCTAGGAATGTAGAAATATGACTTAGTCATTATTTCTGTGTGAATCTCCAATCTCTTCTTGTTAGAAGAAAAAGAAGAAACATCTTCCAACTTCCAAAGTCTGAAGCTAAGGAAATCAGTCACTGAAAATTCTTGCTATGGTTTTCTTCCATTTTTGTTCATGACAGCATTTGGGTGACATTACTTAACCAGCAACACCTGAAAGTCAGTATATTACAAAAGAAGATATTATGTGAAATATTTTGCATTGTAAAGTTTTCTGAGGTATGGAACTCTTCTAACAATGTAGAGATCATTCCCATTCCCTTTGTCAAGTTGTAACAGTCTTACATCAGTAAGATCAGTCATCAAAAATGGGAGTGGAAAGTACAAAGGGCAACACATTCCAGTAGCCTTAAATATCTTAAAGCCTTAATAGAGAAGATATCTTAAATATAGAAATACAAAAATACAGACAGTGAAGTGAAAATTCATACAAGATTAGAATAATTAATTAAGGGATGATGACAAAGGAGGACATGTTTGGCCATGACTATGCTCCAAGATATTTATTTCAGGAAAGAAGAATGTTGAAGGCAGAGGACCCCCCAAAGGCAGAGACTAAAATTATCATACTCCTCACAGACAATTCCTCCTACCAACAATTGGATTGACTATCTCTCCAAAGTTTCAAAAATACCTCTCCAGCTAAAGTATGAGATGTGCATAAATGTGGATAAACCACACAGCTATTCTGACACATAACAGTTCAAAAATATCTGTAGAATTATTCACATTCCCAAAAGGAATACATGCATCCCTGTAAAGACAGAGAAACTGCAGGTTTCAGTTCTTAAAATGCCTGCTTTCCCCTTCATACTGTCGTTCCTACTTATTTCTACCTTCAGGGAACCTATTCCAAGATACCCTAGTCACAAGTCACTGACCTTTTTGCTGTCTTAGTCCTTTTCTGCTTTGTAATTTGCTCCTCCCAAAGAGCACAGATGACTTCTATGAATACTGTGGCATATTTGATGCTTGAAAGAGAATTTCTTTAGCAGAACAAAAATACATTGCACTTAGCTGAGAACATAGTGGTTTACCTAACAGAATTCAAAACTTACCACTGCATGGGGTATAACGGTATGAAATTACTGGTGCTAAGGTGAAGTCAGATTTTGCCAACTTAATCAGCATTTCTCAGATAATACCAAGACCTCAAATGTCTCAGAAAATTGAAGGTACTCATATACCTCACCACAGAAAGAAAATTGGCTAGTAGGTAAAGAATAGTTCCATCCAGTCTAATCAAAATTATGATCTAGAGGCAACTGCTAACTATAACCCTTACGTAACAGAATTCCTTCCCAGTGAAGAAATATTATATTAATGCTTTCTTGTACTCCCCCCCACCCTTTAGATAGGAGTATAAATAAAAGACTAAAGAATTGCTATGGCAAGTATTAACATGCTTTGTAAGGACTCTCAACTAGGGAAATTACAAAAGTTTCAGGGTATCTCCAAAAATAGTAACATTCAAACACAAGTACTTTTTAGAATGAATTTGTTTCCTTATTTTTAAAATT